TTGCCGAGTTCACAGTTTTTGGCAGATAAAAAAATCACTAAGGCAAAAACTCATGGTTTTTCAGCATTTTTGTAATAAAGAAATTATTCTCTATCAATAATCCGCCCAAAACAGGAACATTTCTACTGTAAAATCTGTATTAGAAGCCGCGGCTTCTATTAAAATGGTACAATGCAACAGAGGGGATGCGGCTTCTATTGGAGCATCTACACATATGAGAAATGATGAATTTTTGGTTCTCAATTATTCAAATAGAATGGATGCGACTTCTATTAGGGATGCGGCTTCTAATACAGGTTTTACGGTACTAATTCTTGTGTTTTTTCGACGTTTTTTGAAAAACCTGCGATTAGGCTGCGAAAGTAGAACATTCCGGAGGGGTGAAACGGAAGAGCCAAACTTAACGCGTAAAAATAGAACACGTATTTTGACCTCTACGTGGCCAACCAATGGCTGGACACAGATACGTTTGCAGTCGTTGCCAAAAAGCCCCGCGTCCATCACCTGGCGATGCTGGCACTTTTGAGACATCACGTCGTAAACTTGCTACTTTCTTTCCATCCTTCATCACAGCATACGGTCATGTGGATTATTTTTCTGACGTTGAAGAAAAAACATTTTGCCGACCTCAAGTCCATCACGATAACCATAATGAGGCATGCCGACGATGGGAACTTGTTGCATCATAATTTTGTCATGTGTGTGGGTGCGTGAATAAATCATGTTAATGAGGTCGACCAGAGTTTATTTTCAGTCTGTTTTTTATGTATCGCTGTTTGGATATGTTTATGTATTCACAATAGTTTGTAAACATTTCACATCAGTAATAAAAGGTTTATTTGTTTCATAACCCTGTCTGCTATTCTTCAGTAATTACGATGCGATGTATCAATACGTGCATGAACAAAATAATGCTAATGAGGTCATCGCCGTCTTGGATTACAAGCGGTAGTTTTTCTCGGCCATTTCGACTTGCACTGATCACGGTTACTAAAAAAGTAACCATGCATTGATTACAATACTTACCATACTTTGTAGCCAGTTTCAGTGAGTAATACAACTTCATTCGCTGACATAAAACAAGTTTTATTTTTGAAATTTGACCCTGTGTCTTAGTGTTCCCACAGTTCTTGACCGAGTTCTCACGTTTATTGAAACTTCGCATAAATCAAGAAATAAGTACTTGAACAAAATGTACGAAAGCATTCCTTTATTTGACCTTATCATACAATCACAAAAACAACTTTTTTAAAATCTTTTTTGGGGTGGTCCTCGGGTAAGCGCTCACCCCCAATTTTTCCTGATTTTGTATGTTCAGGCCCCTGGGCGTGTGCCCGGGGTAATACGGTACAATACCTCAGACCACCTAGACATTATTTGTATATTTATCTTTGCATAAATGTGATCAGCATTCACTTACTACAGTCATCACTAAATACAAAGCGTCACATACATATTTTGAAACTTCGCTGGTGAAGCCGAAGCATCATGTCTGGTTGGCCCAAGCGTCGTGGATTGTGATACTGACACTGGACAACAACTTCATTTCCCTTAGGGGTATCATTAACAACAACTTGTTTATCTCACTTAGGAGGTATCATTAACAACAACTTGTTTATCTCACTTCGGGGGTATCATTAACAACAACTTGTTTATCTCACATAGGGGTATCATTGACAACTTGTTTATTACACTTAGGGGGTATCATCAACAACAACTTGTTTATCTCACTTCGGGGGTATCATTAACAACAACTTGTTTATCTCACTTAAGAGGTATCATTAACAACAACTTGTTTATCTCACTTAGGGGTATCATTGACAACTTGTTTATTACACTTAGGGGGTATCATCAACAACAACTTGTTTATCTCACTTCGGGGGTATCATTAACAACAACTTGTTTATCTCACTTAAGAGGTATCATTGACAACAACTTGTTTATCTCTCTTAGGGGGTATCATTAACAACAACTTGTTTATCACACTTCGGGGGTATCATTAACAACAACTTGTTTATCTCATTTAGTGGGTATCATTAACAACAACTTTTTTATCACACTTAGGGAGTATCATTAACAACAACTTGTTTATCACACTTAGGGGGTATCATTGACAACAACTTGTTTATCTCTCTTAGGGGGTATCATTAACAACAACTTGTTTATCACACTTAGGGGGTATCATTAACAACAACTTGTTTATCTCACTTAGGGGGTATCATTGACAGCAACTTGTTTATCTCTCTTAGGGGGTATCATTAACAACAACTTGTTTATCACACTTAGGGGGTATCATTGACAAAAACTTGTTTATCTCTCTTAGGAGGTATCATTGACAACAACTTGTTTATCACACTTCGGGGGTATCATTAACAACAACTTGTTTATCACACTTCGGGGGTATCATTAACAACAACTTGTTTATCTCACTTCGGGGGTATCATTAACAACAACTTGTTTACCTCACTTCGGGGGTATCATTGACAACAACTTGTTTATCTCACTTCGGGGGTATCATTAACAACAACTTGTTTACCTCACTTAGGGGGTATCATTGACAACAACTTGTTTATCACACTTAGGGGGTATCATTGACAACAACTTGTTTACCTCACTTAGGGGGTATCATTGACAACAACTTGTTTATCTCACTTAGGGGTATCATTGACAACTTGTTTATTACACTTAGGGGGTATCATCAACAACAACTTGTTTATCTCACTTAGGGGGTATCATTAACAACAACTGGTTTATCTCGCTTAGGGGGTATCATTAACAACAACTTGTTTATCACACTTAGGGGGGATTATAGACAACAACTTGTTTATCACACTTAGGGGGTATAATCAACAACAACTTGTTTATCTCACTTAGGGGGTATCATTAACAACAACTTGTTTATCTTAATTAGGGGGTATTTATGTATGTGTCCAACATGGTGGAGTATGGTCACCTGGTGAACCCAGAAACCTTCTCAGATTATTTAGAGCAAAAACATCCAGACATGTATCAGATGTTTGATAATCCAGAGGTGAGTACAGTGATTACTATTCAAGGGTAGATAAATCTAAGGGTAGTCTTGTATTGAAATGTGCAATTAAAATCTCATTGAAATCTCACATTATGCAGGTTTTTGTCTTTCTAATTGATGTCCAATTCTTAATTATACATTTTGTTTCTCATTCAAGGACTGGGAAGAGCGATACGTACATCATGATTGGTCAAAACAGTTGATGCCAAATGCTAACATCTCAATGGTAATTCTGTTTATTGTTTTTTACACATTCTTTTTGTTCATGATTTGATAATGGAAAGGATATACAGAATTCTGCAAATTTTACTATGGCTATGTCATTGTCATGGTAACCCAGTGAAATGTATTTCTACTGATATGCAAGTGATATGATGTGTCTCCATCTCTGGTGGTCAAAAATACATTTGATTCTGTGCACAAGGTCTTCATAATATATCAATGACAGAGTTATTAAAGCTGCATACCAAGAAATCAATCCATTCTTCTAAATAGTTTTGCTGGTTAATACTGACAACCATAAAAATCTGAATGACGGTATAATGGATTGTGTGTTCGCCTTACGTCAGAGAGCTTTTGGGTTTCATTCCTAGAGCTGACTCTTTACTCAGTTTTATAATTCTCAGAACAGTCTGCTCTGCTTTTCAAACATGTAACAGACTCAAACAGAAGGCCAATTACACTGGCCGCGATTCATTCACTAACGAATTTGACCTGAATGTCACCGTGACTTTCTTGTCTTGAAGACCTAAACGTCACCGTGACTTTCTTGTCTTGAAGACCTGAACTCACTGTGACTCTTGTCCTGAAGACCTGAACATCATCGCGACTCTCTTGTCCTGAAGACCTGAACGTCACCGTGACTCTCTTGTCATGAAGACGTGAACGTTGCCGTGACTCTCTTGTCTTGAAGACTGGCTGTCTCTGATTAAATTAAAAAAACTATGGTTGTTGCACTACAAATCTAGCAGATTTCTGTTAGTAAAGACATTAATTATTCCAAAACCAATCGCACCCTACTAGATATTCAGTACAAGTTGGTACAAGTATGTCTTTTGATTTGGTCAAAATGGACGTAGTGCTCATGGCAGTTAGGGAACACATAGCTGTTCATAATTTACCTATATAAATCTTGGTACCATTTCTTTTTTTGTACAGTCTGATCTGTGCAACACATTAACCCTTAGAGTGTCAGATATCTTTTCCTCCTAAAAGTCAGTGCAATTGTTTTCCGTTTTTGTGAAATTGTCACTAAATTTCATCATCATTTTGGTCAATATTGTAGTTTTTGACCAAAAGATTTGTAAATTTGAATCAACATTTTATGTGGTGAGAAGCAGACTATGGTACTCAATAAAAGTGTTAAGTTATTTCTATAGGTGTGTGCATTGCATTGTGAGTAACGTTATCTACATGTCTTATGTGTGTGTCATGGCGACTACAACCTTTTAAAGCGAGAGGGTCATCACCTGCACGGGAATTGAGTCCCAATTGATGATAACAACACACGCTAAGAACGCAAAGGCTCATGGGTAGATGTTTGTTTGTAAACAATGACATGCTATGGCCACCTGACTCATGTGTAGGTAACGACTCCCCTGCTTTAAAGTAATTCACAGTATATTGTAAAATGTATTCAAATGTTTGTTTTATTTTCAGCCATGTCCAGATGTGTATAGCTATCCACTGATGAGCGAGACATTTGCACAACATTTAATTGAAGAGATGGAATATTATGGTCAATGGTCAGGAGGGGGTAATCAGGTATGTAAAAGTGGCATTTAGTTTGTGCATATTTATTTGGCTTATTTGTATATTATTGATCATGTGATATGATATACATTTGTGCATTTTAATTAGGTAATTTGCATAAATGACCAATTGGTTTATAATAATATATTCTATAAACAGTACATTGCCAGTTTAGTTAAATCATGTAATAAAGATATTATTTCAAAATGTTTGTCAAACAAACAAAAATTATTCAAGCAATAGTTTTCTGATTGTTTTTGTTGGTTCATTTTGTCATTTGTTGGTTGTGCTGAATATATTGATAACTTTTCAATTTCGTGAAACTGTCTGAACTTATCATTTGATTTTGAAAAAAATAATACAATGTATTCGGTAAGGGTATATAGTTTACATGTGATAGAATGATATTGAATCTTATCTTCAATTATATTCCAAAAATTATTTCTAATGTAGTTCAATCTTTGCCCTCTGATGTCGTCCAGTCTCTATATGTAGCTGACGTGAACTTAATCTGTGCTTTGATAGTAGCCAAATATCTTTCCATTGTTTGATATAAATACATATATTTGGTAAATTTGTGTTTTTGTTGATCTACTAAAGTATCATATGCAAGACTAACTGGTGCATTCCTTATTTTTGGTAGTACTTAATTAATGTTTGTGGTCTTGTAGTTTACATTTAGTAGATGTCGATGGAATGCTAATTTGACAATTCAATATACAAAGTGTTTTTTATCAACTTTTATAATTTACATAATTACCTCAAAGCTGACATTATGGTTTTTGCGCATTTTCATAGCCTCATTTGCATAAATGTTTAGATATATAATATACATTATGTCCCAAAGATGTTATGAGTTCTTGAGGCTGTAATATATCTGATTTAAAACATAAATATTATTATTTTTTACTGTAAATAAAAAGTTAAACATTGTTTTGTTTTTCAAGGATTCTAGACTTGCTGGTGGTTATGAAAATGTTCCAACAAGAGACATCCATATGAACCAGATCAACTTTGAACAACATTGGCTTCATTTCATCAAAGAACATGTGTGCCCAATACAAGAAAGAGTTTACCCTGGTTATTATTCAAAGGTAAATGATCTTCTCATATGTCTGAACACTAATTTAAAACAACTACATCTGATATTGGGATTCTGTTATAGTCCCATTGTATCATTCTTCTTTCATCGACTGAGTTAGTCATTAGTTGCATGTTCACAGTCTCTACCACAAGTGACATTTTGTATTACATTTCAAGGTAAAATTTATTTTTTAAATACACTATATTATTCATTTAGTAATTGGTTGGACAGATGATTATATAAATGAATAAGATAATGTGAAAATCCAGAAAATGTTATAAATATTTACAGAGACATTATACACAGAATGTCCAATCCCTGAGTACAATGGTGTCAATATCTGTACTGAAACTTTCCATGGAACGTTCAGTGTGAAATATGTGAATGTAATCACCAATGTAATTTTGTCAATACAATTTTGACAAAAGAACAGAAATAAAATTATAAAAAACATTTTCTAGTTTATAATAAGTGAAGTCGTTATTTGTCTTGTGTTTTTGGTACGACTGTTTATGCTAATTAGAAATACAAAGATATTCAAATTTATCCATGGTCAAGACTGATTAAACACAATCAGTGCTTGGAAAATTGGAATTTTAATGCACAAAACATCAAAGTGTTTTCTAACTTGACACAATAAGACCATCATTATACTGAAAACAAACATTCAAAATACAGTCAAACATTAGTTTGTTAGTGTTAGTGACCACCTCTATATAAAGACCACCTGTCTATAGTGACCACTTTTAGGCAGTCTCAATGGATAACTTGTGAGAAATTTGTGTATAATAACCACCTGTTTTGTGTGTCCATCCTTTCAGCAATATCTGTTCAAATTAACCAAATAATAATAAGCATTCCATTTTACTTACTTGATTTTGTTGTAAACAGTATTATCTCATCACTTCCTGGACAAATATTATCTCAAATGTACGAGTTGAAGATCGATATAAAAAACTAATCCAATCTCAATATAAGGACCACCATAAGGACCATTTCAATGAAGTGCCTTGGCTGGTGACTATATATAGGTTTGAATGTATGAACAAGCACTCTACGACCACACAACAAATCCTCATGGCTATAATAATTTATGTTCTTTCTTTCTTGCAGGCTAATGCTATTATGAATTTTGTGGTTCGGTATAAACCCGATGAGCAAGCATCTCTACGACCACACCACGACTCATCAACATTTACTATTAATGTTGCTCTTAATAAAAGAGGTGTTGATTATGAGGTAAGCAAATATGAAAGCAGGTTCCTGATTGGCTTGATATTTAGGAGTTCTGGATAGGTAGCCAATCATATGCACTCTTTTAAGTTATAGCTAAATATTTCCAAGCATTGAGGTTACCTGATTCAATACAAAAGGCAATAAATGTCACCAATAAATGTGAAGTGTTGTCACATGACACAAATGTCACCAGTGAAGTCAGTTGTCACATGACACAAATGTCACCAGTGAAGTCAGTTGTCACATGACACAAATGTCACCAGTGAAGTCAGTTGTCACATGACACAAATGTCACCAGTGAAGTCAGTTGACACATGACACAAATGTCACTAGTCAAGTCAGTTGTCACATGACACAAATGTCACCAGTGAAGTCAGTTGACACATGACACAAATGTCACTAGTGAAGTCAGTTGTCACATGACACAAATGTCACCAGTGAAGTCAGTCGTCACATGACACAGATGTCACCAGTGAAGTCAGTCGACACATGACACAAATGTCACCAGTGAAGTCAGTCGTCACATGACACAAATGTCACCAGTGAAGTCAGTTGACACATCATGCAGTGCATGATTTATAATAATAAATTTCCCCAAAGTAGACGTTTATTTTGTTTTATTTTCAGGGTGGTGGTGCCAGGTTTATTCGTTATAACTGCAGCGCCATTGGTATGGATGTAGGGCACACGTTGATGCATCCTGGTCGTCTCACTCATTTCCATGAAGGTTTACCCACCACTAGAGGGACACGGTATATCATGGTGTCATTTATTGACCCATAGATCTCCCTCAAATCCATAAGATAGTAGAGGTTATGCAGCAGTCTTGCCTTCATGGATTCAGTTTGTAGCATTTTTGGATGTATTTCCCATCGATTTGTACCCCAATTTCAAAATTAAGCTTCTTGTTTAAAATTTGAAACCATATACTGTAGTTGTCTGGGTAAGTGCCAAGGGTCTCGAACATGGAAAATTGTCAAAAAGTAGGGGTGGGTGTATGCCCGGACATCCCCTACAAAAAAAACGAAAATTGACAACACACAGATCAAGCTGCGACAGGGAATAGAATGGCAAATGAAAACATACAATGAAATTAAATGAACAATATGCAACATTAGAAGTATAATAAAAGTAATTTATTGCTTATAATGTGATAAATAAACCAGAAATAATAAAAATCGACAGTGAGGAATCATTTAAATTAGGATTTCCCCGCAAACACGCCCAATATGCGTCAAAATTAACTAAAATGTCAGGGGTTAAACTGTATAAAATTATTTCCAGTTTTGACAAATACTTGATCAACAGTCATACACAAACAATAATAATTTACAAATTTACACAGTGAAAATTATTAAAATTCATAGTTGTTTGAAAATTGTCAAAAAACTCCATTTGTACGTTCATTAATTGCCATCTTCGTCAAAGTCAAAACTCTCAAAGTCCAAGTTAGCGTCACTGTCGCCGTCCAACAAGATTCCTACAGCTTCGTCCTGAAGTTTATCGGTGTCGTCATACACAGTTTGGACTTAGTACTTTTAAGCCACAGATTTTGCTGTCTGTCAGCTGAGCATGTCTTATCACAATAGACATCTGCTGTACTGATTGGGTAAAAATTACATCACTACTAGTGTTTCATCATAGAGGTCGGGCCATCGGCATGACATTTCAAAATTGTCATGGATGAATTCATTCCAGTTATGGATTCGCAAGCGACTACAACATATTTTATAAAGTCAAAACAGTATTGCAACATTGCTTTCATTGCCGATGACGCTAAAGCCGAACGAGTACAACACCTTTTCAGGGCCACAACTCATTTCAAAAAGACAACTACTGTTTCTGCTTTAATATACATTTTGTAGACTTGCTGACTGGTATAACTCTGATAAAGAAATCTTGAAACATAAATGTAAATTACAAGAACAGCAGTGCCCTGAAGGCAGAACACGAAATTACCTATTTTGCTGTCACGGCTGTTCCGTGTTCACCCCACATTTTACGCAATTGACGTTTATTTTTCAAGACTTTTTATCAGGATCAGAACAGAATGCAAGGAAGTCAACTGTTAATACAACAAACAAAAAATAGATTTTTTTTATTACAAGTTTAGAAAAGTCTCCCCTAGGCGTATGCCCGGACATGGCCTCAATTTCTTTATTGTATCAAAATTGGGGGGTGGGCATTTGCCCGGGCATGGGCGCTTACCCGGATAAGTACAATATATATGGTGCTGTATTGATATTTTACTCTTTCATTGACCCAGTGATAGGTTTGGATAGATTTCTTCATTAGAAACATCAAAAAATGGTGGTTGTTTTTTGAAAAGTCTGCAATCATACATCAAGTTTAAATTCTTTTAAAATGCTCTAAACTGAAGCCATGTGAGCTAGCAGAGACTTTAAAGGGCAACTGTTATCGCTGTGTGGTGTTGTGTGGTGTACTGTAAAACCATTTATTTTCACAGACATTTTATTTCACTATTTTGATGTTTTGGGCATATTCATGAATTTGTCAAGTAAACATTGAGTTTTATTGTTATTTTACATGTTCACGTAGATTTAATTTAGCTGATTTTACTTATTAGTGAAAATAGCGAAATTAAAACCCAGTGAAAAATTAATAGATTTACAGTCTATGACAAATACAATGTGTACACAAAATTTGAACACGCACTGCACTGCAAGATGGCCGTAATGCTTATATTAGTGAAGATTTCTTGGTGAATGGCGCCCTCTCTGTTTGCAGGTGACTACCATAGAACGTTAGAATTCATTGCTAACAAATTACAGTAAGGAGAAGTTTAAAGTTTTGTGAAACATATCTTAGCTTATAAGATTCCCATGTGTCAAAAATAATAAAATTATAACTGATTCTAACAAATTCTGTATGAAAACAGATTTTGTATCGCCTATTAATGCTGTCTTATGCCGTTCAGCTATCCATTGCTACCTGTGGAGAATTTCAGCCAATTGGAAACTAAAATATTTGTCTTTATGCATGATGGCTGCAGATATTATATTTTTAAAACAATTGTGAAAAGTCAAAGACATGTAAATCCAGCCAGAACCTTTCAGTGCCAGCATTTTAATTGTCTGTTGTTATATTGTGAATCTTTTAACCTTTATGATAATTCTTATTAGTTGCTTTGCTTTGTGTTTTTTAATATTTACATAAAGGAGATTGTGGACTGTGATGTTATCCATTGTGCCTTCAAGCATGACTGGTTTTATAGAAATCTTGGGTTGAAATGACATTTCATTCATTATTACTCTTAATTTGTTCATAAAACGTGAATTTCATTTTTACCAAATTACAAATTTCATAACTATGGTAAGATGTTTGTTCAAGATCACTATATCAATGTTTGTTTTAGAGGGCACACTGCTGTCATCATTATTTCTATATAACAATAGCACAATCACCTTTATGTTATTTGTAGACAGTGCATGCTAGAATCATTAATATTAGGCTTAATACTAAAATGCAGTTGAATTTTTGTGATGATTGCCATTTTGAAATTTTTTTTGCTGCTTAGATACAGTCTGTATATGAAGCAGTCGTACAAGCTTCACTTGATCCCCAAATGTATTTCTGTTCTAACCCATAGATCAAATCTCTGTGTAAGTGATGACATCTAATACTTACACAAGTTTTAATCAATTTCATACAAAAGAAATGTAATTCTCTTTTATAATTTTTGACAGTGGGTAAATACATCTTTAACAGAAAACATTGGTGGTATATATTATATTTTTTGTTCAATTGCTGCAGCAATTTTGATGTCAAAATTTAATGTTTTTTTCTGCCAATTTTTATAATAATCGTTTTGTTGGTCTTTGTTTGTGTTTTCAATATACTCCCTAGGCATATCACTTTATTAGTGAACCCGGGTTAGTTATTTTCTTTATATAGCCTCCTAAGTTGGTGGTAAAAACAACAGTACTCCTCAGATTTTTGTGTTTTAATACATTTCACTTGGTGCTATTCAAATTCCTTTTGGGATTTTTTTAATGGAAAAAACGTTTTAATTCTTCTGCCAGTTTTAAATTATGTAAATGTAACTAAAAATATTAGATAGCATTTAGAATTGTTTTTGAAAGATGAGGCTTTAGATTTGTCTAATAATGAAGTGTTATACAAACAAAAAGTAGTTTCTCATAGTATATCTTACTGCCTGAATATGCAAGCTTGTAGCAAAGCAAAGAGGGAAATATTTGGTTGGATATTGTTTGCCTGTCCATTCAAGTTTTGAAAATGTATTTTTGTGCAAGATGCAGTGAATTTCCTAGAGGAATGATTGTTTTTTATAGAAATTAATAATTGTATTTACAGAACATTCACCTCCAAATCACTTGGATATAGAAGCTATTTGGTAACACTTATTACCCATGAGTCTTTGCAGCTTTCCTTAATTATTGGCTGATTTACTGTTTTCTCCTGTCAAATTTACATTTATGCTTTCATGAAATTCATTGTACAAATTTATTTTTTATTATTCTTATTACTTAATTTATGCCTTGCTTCATTCAACCCCAAAATCATGATTAGCTTTATTACTATTAAGTTAAATAATGCATAGGTCATACATCCTGGTACAGTACGGAGGTCAGAGGTCGTACATCCTGGAATAGTACGAAGGTCAGAATTTGTACATCCTGGTATAGTACAGATGTCAAACATCTTGGCACAGTACAGAGGTCGTACATCCTGGAATAGTACGGAGGTCAGAGTTTGTATGTCCTGGTACAGTACATGGGTCAAACATCCTGACATAGTACAGAGGTCAGAGGTCATACATCCTGGTCCAGTACATGGGTCACACATTCCAATACTTATTTAGTGTCAGGCCAAATGATTGACATGTCTTCAAATTCAAATTCAAAAAAACAAACTTGAAACAGAATATATTACTTTATTTAGCTGAAAATTTAACAATGGTTTTTTTTTATTTTCCAATATTTGTACTAACCAGGTATTTCCCTGCTAGCCATTTAAATATTTGATTGAGTAGGGTACAAATGTACTTTAAAACAAAAATGATAATAAATTTATTTTTGAAAGATGATTTAAATTACGGTTAACAATGAATGTGTTAGAGCAATAATAAGGAGTTAAGGGTCTATGCTGCCATGAAGGTGAAAGTTGGTGAAATTTTTGAGGACTTGTAACATTTTAAATAGTAAAGGTACAAACAAATGCAGCATTGGTTCTCGTTTTTCTTTTTGCTTATTCACCTTACTCTAGTATTTGAAGTCTAAAACTAATAACAAGTTTGACTTAACTGATGTGAACACAAAGCAGCAACACATGTTTAATCGTTTCAGCAAAATATATATTGTCTTCAAGAAACATTTCTTTTAATCTAATTTTTCTGTGCATGCATATTGGACGTTTACACCTGAAAACTTATTAATAAACTGGACTTTATCTATAAAATAGTCATTGTTAGAGTAAATTGCTTTCAGTATGGAAATCTGTTTTGTGATTTGTGTGAATAGTGAAATGGTGGTTTATGATTAGAATAAATAGTGAGATAGGGGGTATATGATTAGAATAAATAGTGAGATGGGGGTTTATGTTTAGAATGAATAGTGAGATAGGGGGTATATGATTATAATGGATAGTGAGATAGGGGTTTATGATTAGAATAAATAGTGAGATAGGGGGTATATGATTAGAATGGATAGTGAAATGGGGGTTTATGATTGGAGTAAATAGTGAGATAAGGGTATATGATTAGAATAAATAGTGAGATAGGGTGTTTATGATTAGAATAAATAGTGAGATAGGGGTTTATGATTAGAATAGTGAGATGGGGGTTTATGATTAGAATAAATAGTGAGATGGGGGTTTATGATTAGAATAAATAGTGAGATAGGGTGTTTATGATTAGAATAAATAGTGAGATAGGGGTTTATGATTAGAATGAATAGTGAGATAGGGGGTATATGATTAGAATAAATAGTGAGATAGGGTTTATGATTAGAATGAATAGTGAGATAGGGGGTATATGATTAGAATGAATAGTGAGATAGGGGGTTTATGATTACCGGTAGAATAAATAGTGAGATAGGT